AACCAAGTTTGACTCATATGGAGAGGTAATGGAGACAATGTTGCCTGTAGAAGTGTTGGACCAGGTGGTCATTTCTGGATTTGGGTTCTTGTTACTTGGAGTAGATGTTCTGTGTACTAACTGCATTTACTATATGTCTACCTTCCTCATGTGTTAACTCGTGTTGGTGGTGATGGTTATCTATGGTTGCTAAAGACGTTCCAAATGAAAAATCAGTGCACAGGCGTATTGGTAGAGATGAATTTGATTTTTGGTTTCAGATTGATGGTGGTGGGCGTGGGCGGTTACTTTTCTTGGAATGATTTTCAAGTGTGGGGGTGTGTTTTCTTGGTTTGATTTTCGTATGTACAATGGGTTGGAAGGTGACGATAGTGAATGGGTTGTGGTGGTTGTGTGAGTCGAAGGTGACGATAGTGAATGGGTTGGAAGGTGACGATAGTGACGGTTTCTGGTAAGGTCTCGCCGGAGAAGAAGGGTTGTTATATTGTTTTCATTTGGTGGGTTGGGGTTGGTGGGGGTGGGTTTATATATCTATTTTTAATTTTTGGGTTTTTAATTTAGTTTTTTTTTTAACTTATTTAATATGGAAAATACAAAAGTATCATTTTGGCTTTTTTAGTTTAGTCAAAATAAATCAAATTTTGGTTTTTTTAGTCAACTAACGGTCAAATGGATGCATCCATTTGGACTTCAACTGCATGTTTGTGAAAGGTTAGAGACCTTCACTAACACAAAATGAAGGTCGGGGTAAATACTGCAAAAAATGAAAAAATTAGGGACCGCTACTGCAATTTTTCATTAATAAATTAGGGAGGTAGGCCTACAAAATATTATGTGTAAGTAGGGTGGCAACGACTCAACTCACCCTTAGACGAGCCAACTTGAGTTCGGCTCATATCCACAAAATGTGCTCAATTCAATCATTTAGCTCATGGACCTTATGGGGCGAGTCGAGCTGTCCACGAGGCTGCAAATTAGGCTACTATTTTTTATCAAATCATTTTGTTTTCCTTCTTGAATAAATTTTTCCATGGTGTTGGTTATGTTGTCGGCGACGTGATTGTATTTATGAAGGTGATGTTTGGTTGTGTGGAGGTGGGAGGTGGGGATAGGTAGGTGAGTGGTGAGCTTGGTTGAGAAGGTGAACTTCTTTAAAAAAATATCGAGTATAAATATTTATTAATTATTTTATGTGAGATTCATTTGTACTTGTTGAGAAGTTACGAGTCTCCATTTTCATTTTTTTATTTTACAACTTTTTTTGTTTTTGTTTATTTAAATAGAATGACAAATCAATCATTTAATGGACAAAATGGAGGGAACAACAGATTTTGCTACATAATTGAAAAGTTGATGATGGATTATGCCAAAAAAAAAAAAGGATTAAGAATAGATTTATTAAATTTCACAAAGGTCGAAGACAAAATGCAATTTTTTCTTTAAAATCAGTTTGAATTATAAATTGATCCAACGCCTTTTTGAAATGGACCAAAGCTTTCGTACCTATTTCTTTCTATATTATAAGTGCCTATGAAACGGTGTCAAACGGAACAGTAACAGAAATTGTTCTTCTAAGTGCCTGCCTATGTCAAACGGAACAGTAAG